TGCTTTTTAACTTTTTTGCTTCTTGTCCCTATGAGAATAGAGAATATTTGATAAAAAGTTTTAAACACACACACACACACACACACACCAGCTTGTATACTCTATCCCACAGGAGATATAAAACACACACACACACACACACACACACACACACACACACGGCACAAGCAGAATGTGTTCCAGATTAACTTAAAATATGATTTCAAATCTCTGATACTACTTTAACATTTAGATCCCCCTGTAAACATTACTTCCTCAGAGAAGCCTTCCTATAACCCTAACTGGACCAAGTTATATTATTATAAGCACTTTTAGCACCCTGATACCTTCAAAAAGGTACCTTTTTTTTAAATTAAATCTTTATTGTTCAGATTATTACATTAGTTACTCTTTTTTCCCACCATAACTCCCCTCCACCCAGTTCCAACCCCACCCTCTGCCCTCACTCCCCACCCACTGTCCTCATCCATAGGTGCACGATTGTTGTCTAATCTCTTCACTCACCCCCACACTCTTTCCCCCCTCACCCCCCGCAAGAATAGTCAGTCCATTCCCTTTCTATGTCCCTGATTCTATTACCATCACCAGTTCATCAGATTATTTATTCACTTGATTTTTAGATTCACTTGTTGATAGATGTGTATTTGTTGTTCATAATTTGTATCTTTACCTCAAAAAGGTACCTTTTAATGTCTGCTTATTCCCTTATACTCTAGGCACCGTGATGTAAAAATCTGTCTTGTGATAACGATTCTCCCCTTGACCAAACTCTAGCCAGGCTCCTCTGAGTCTTCTCAATTAGGACTCAACCTTGGCCTATAAACACTGTAGACTCTCAACATAAATGATTTTATCCACCTACCTCCCCTCACATTAAAGGACTGAAACAAACACTAACATCATTTCTAACAGCTCAAGGTTGCATCTCTAGTATGACCCTGGCCCCCGATTAGGTGCCTGTCTGAGAAAGCTGAAAGCTACCCAAAGAATTCAGAGTTCTGGCTAGCACCTGACCCTTTCTTACAATGCTTACTAAAAAGGGCTTACGCCCTGGATGGGTGGCTCAGTTGGTTGGAGTATCATCCCGTATACCAAGAAAAGGTTGTGGGTTCAATTCCCGGTCATGGCACATACCTAGGTTGCAGGTTCAATCCCTGGTGGGGTGTGAACCGGAGGCAAATGATCGATGTTTCTCTCTCACATCAATGTTTTTTCTCTCTCTGTCCATACCCAGTGCATGACTTTTACCTTGTGACCCAAGGTGATTGCTTGAGCTCCAGCTTTCATATCCAAATCCAGCCAGCAAAAAGAAGGGTAGGAAGTCTATTTGAAGGACATTACTTAGGAGGCCCATCTGACACCACCACTGAAAGCCCATTAGCAGCACCCTTAGTCACATGGCATCTGTGTTTAGCTGCAGGGAGGCTGGGAAATCTGGTTGTCATTTTGGAAGACCATAGAAACAAACAAGTGAAAAAAATCAAGGGTTCTGCTCTTAAGTAAGAACAGCAGAATGGACCTCGCTAGTTTGGCTCAGTGGAGAGAGGGTCTGCCCACGGACTGAAGGGTCCCAGGTTCGATTCCGGTCAATGGCATGTACCTGGGTTGCAGGCTCGGTCCCTGGACCACACGGCTGCGTGTGGGAAGCAAGCAATCAATGTGTCTCTCTCACATCAATGTTTCTCTCTCTGTGTCTCTTCTCCTCCTTTCCACTCTCTCTAAAAATCAATGGAAACATACCTTCTGGTGAGGATTAACAAGAAGAGCAGAATAAATACTGGCAGACATCCAGCAGTTTCTGTCACACCTTTTTATTCCATTCTATTTCCTGTTCTGTCACAGATCTGCTGTGGGCCTGGACAACATACTTTCTTTGTTTTGATGCCGGTTTTTCTGGTAATTCGGAAAGAGAGTGCTTCAATATAATGAAGAAGTTCAGAGTATTAAGCAGATAAACATGTCAGTGCTCTGGTCTCTGGGAGAACTGGAGCCCCACCCAGTAAGCCTTCTTTTGAACTTTCCTGGTTGGTTCTCTGGAGTTTCTGGGAGCAGACTTTGAAACTCACAGATTAGATTATCACAGAGGTCCTTCCAGCTAGGAGACCTGAAGAATTCCTGTTTGTTACATTTTGGGAGTAACCTGTTGTGTCCTCCATTAGGTACCTCTCTAGTGAGTTCAAGCAGATGCCTATAACAGTGAGTGTGAGACACAAAGCCTGCCAATAATTGACCACCCACGGTGTGTTTGGCACTGTACCAAGCTCTGAGAACATAATGTGACCACCGCTCAGTCCCTTACATTGCTGGGGTTCTTGTTCCAGCATCTAGAAGGGTTCAGCAATCTGAAGAAGGTTGTGCGTAGATTAAATAGGAGTCCAGAGACGAAGTATAATTTTGAAAGGCATTTGGGGGTCAAAGGAGCCTAGTTTAAAGGAAACCAAGATCTTCTCATCTCAGGACTCCATGCTTTTTATTAACACAATTTGTCCTGAGGCTAGGCAGAGATATACACTTCAAAGGGGTAGGGTTTTCTATACAGAGGCATTGTCAGAATGGGGGAATTAGCCTACAGCTGTTCAGGTGTTTGGCCAGTAGGAGGCAATAACATGTAGATTAAGATGCCCTGAGCCGTCTGGCAGCAAACAATCAATTTAATGTATCCTATTCAGGTTTGGGGAAATGCCATCGGCCATTCCCAGATTCAGCCCTGCCTTCATGCTGGAATTGGCTTCTGGCATTACATATTTTTTGTTGTTGTTATTAAAAGGCCAGGGTTGATTTCAACACAATCCAATGTACCAAATGCTGTTACCAAGTATGATGGTGTTAGGACTGAATTGGGGCCTCCTAAAAGATGTGTTGAAGCCTTAGTCCTTGGTACCTATGAATGCGACCTTATTTGGAAATAGGGTCTTTACAGATGTCATTTAGTTAAAATAAGGTCATTAGAGGAGGCCCAAATCCAATATGACTCATTTTCTTAGAAGAAGAGTAGAAGGGGCACAAATACAGATACACACCAGAAAAATGCCATATGACGGTGGAGGCAGAGATTGGAGTGAAGCACCCACAAGCTAAGGAATGCTAAGGATTGCCAGCAACCTCAGACACTAAGAGAAAGTCATGCAACATTCTCCCCTGGAGCCTTCAGAGAGCACATGGCCTTGCTGACAGGAATGGTTAATTTTAGATGTCTAGTCTCCAGAACTGTGGAGGAATAAATTTTCGTTGTTTTTCAGCCAGTGTGTGTGACAGTTTGTTATGATAGCCCTGGGAGATTAATGGAGGTGGTCAGTTTGATGTGTCAATTTCCTAAGCTTTAATCCCGTTATTCAATCAAGCACTAATCTAGATGTTGCTCTAAAGGTATTTTGTGGATGATGAATGCTTACAACCAGTTGACTTTTAGTAAAGATGGGCCTGACTTAGTCAGTCAAAAGGCCTTAAGAGCAGAACTGAGGTTGTCCTAGAAAATAAGAAATGCTGCCTGTGAACTACGACTTAAGCTGTTGCTAGAGTTTCAGCTTGCCTGTCCTGATGGCCGCCTTACAGATTTTGGATTTGCTTATCCAGGCCCCACAAGTAGCATACGCCAATTCCTTGCAATAAATCTGTTAATGCATCTCCTACTGATTCTATTTCTCCAATGGAAACCTGACTAAGACACAATAGGATGATGCAATCTTGAAATACATTTGCCTAAAAGTCTATGAAATTGCTGAAGGCTTCGCCGAGGAGGCGGCTTTTGGCAGAGATTTAAAGGATGGATAGGGGCTTGCCAGGTGGGGAAGGGCATTTCTAGTAGAGGGAACAGCGTGTGCAAAGACCTGGAGTGGTGAAGCCCTTCCCCTTTTCCCCTAGTGGCTGGAAATAGGCTTTGCAGAATTTGGAGCCACATTCTGAGGTCCTCTCCTGTCAAGCAGAGGACTTCAGTGCTTGCCCTGGAGGCCAGGGACTCTCTCTCTTTTAAAATTCTTCATTCTGTCTTTTTATTTTTTTAATTGAGATATAACTTTCATAAGTTAAGCTAATGGGTTTTAAAGAACTTGATGAATTTTTTACATATGTATATATCCATGTGATCCACATCAAAATCAAGATATATTTATGGAAGAATCTGCATTATTAACTGGTAAATATTTATGAAAAAATCCACATTACTTACCAGTAAATAAAATATGAAAGAATTTGCATTATTAACCTAAATAGTTATGAAAAAAATCCGAATTATTAACCGGTACACCTGGGAGAAGTCTCAGGAGGACGCGAGGACTCAGGAGGGGCCATGGGAAGATTGAAGGGATGCGGCCAGGAGCCCCCCAGAAAGGGAATAGGCAGGAAGGACCCTCCCCTGGAGCCTTCGAGGGACCACAGCCCCCGACACCCTGATTTCACATTCTGGCCCCAGAACAGGGAGAGCACACGTTCCTGTTTGTTTCGGGCAGTCTGTAGTTTTCGGAGCAGCAGCTTCAGGAAATAGACCTTACCTTTCTCCTCCTTTTGGGGCTTTGACCCGGTCTGGGAACATCTGAGCCCTGTCCCCGGGCACAGGAGATCCCCTAGACCTCTCACTGCAGGGACTCACAGGGAGATTCATCTCTGTGTCTGTGCCTTGGCCCTGTCTCTCATCACCCGGGGTGCTCATGACAGTGTAGTGGGCACACCAGGGCAGGCTGTTTGGTGGGAAGTGCAGGCTTCGTGGCTCAGGGACTCCTCGCTGACTTGCCAAGCCTCAGCTACAGGATGATGCAGGGTACCCCACATCCCCGCCCTTACCTCCCAGGCCTTCCCACCCATGAGTCCAGCCTGGGCCTCCGCTTCCTGGAGCGCCTGGGTTGACAGGAGCCAGCTACTGGGTTGTTGTGCCCATATTCTAGATGCCAAAACTGAGGCTCAGAGACGGGGAGCAGAGGTCCCTACCCTCAGCCCATTGCCCCCTCAACTCAGCCCAGCTCACAGGTGGCTCTGCCAGCTCCCAAAGAGGGCAAGGCCAGGCGATCATGCCAGACAAGGGGGCGGGGCCACCTGAACAGCCGGAAGTGGGCAGGTGAACAGGGGGCGGGGCCAGGTGATGAGTCCTGCCAGGTGTACCGGTTAATAATGCAGATTTTTTTCAATAGATGGAGTTACACATCCTAGTACAATCAGGGCTGGGATTAGGATGTGAGTGAGGTGAGCCAGGGTCAGAGTCTGCCTTTATTTAAAACTTTGATATTTTGTTTCATCATGGATTTTTGCATTCATTTTGATTTTGAAAAAATATTACTTATTTTGATTACTGAGTTTTTTTGGCCCACTCTCAAATTTTGCACCTCAGAGAGATCTTCATGTCTCATTCTAGTCTTGACCTGTTAAATACTGTATGTCCAGCCCCTGTGGCTCCCTTATTTCCTCAATGCCTCCAAAGGAAACCTGGAGCCAAGGCCGAGGGTATTTACCATGAATTGATGGCTTGTCATGTGTGCGATCATGTTATGGGTGTGTATGTGTGTGTTTTTCTGAGGGAATAGTTCATTGCTTTGATCAGCTTCTTGGAGGTATCTGTAAAGTGAAGCTAAGAAACACAAATGCCTGCTAGGAGGGTGCCAGAGGAGGCTTTGTTACTCAAGGGATCTGAACAATATGTCTTAGGTGGGGCCTGCAGGCCTCAGTGGACAGCCTGGTGTCACTCAGCCTTGCAGTGCCTCAGTCTTCTCATCTGTAATGTGGAGTTTATAATCTTAGTGCTCTCTCACTGGACTGTATAAGGGTCAGATGTGATAATGGCAGTAAAATTCTTAGCACCCTGTAGCCAACATTTACTGAGTGTTTACGATGTGCCAGGCACTGAGCTAAAGGTTTACGTCGTCACCTTTTGTTTTTATTTTTAAAAATATATATTTTTATTGATTTCAGAGAGGAAGAGAGGAGAGAGAGAGAAACATCAATGATGAGAATCATTGATTGGCTGCCTCCTGCATGCCCCTTTCCCTTACCCTCCCTCCTTCCCCAATGGGGGTTGATCCTGTGCCCTGACCGGGAATAGAACTCTGATCACGCTGGTCAGGCCGTTATTTTTTAAATAATACACACAGCCCAGCCAGCAAGGTGCAAGTCTCTGCAAGCCCACGCAGAGTGGTGAGGAATGGCCATCCTCCTCCTCCTCCAGGGGACCCTGCTCCAGTAGGGGGATGGGCGGGCAGGGAGGGAAGGGGGCGGGCGCAGGTG